TCAACGGGAATGCTGGATTTTTTTTTTGAAATAACGCCTTCAATTTACACACATGTGCTTGCATATTGTTAAGATCTGTCCCCTTTTACATTCTTAACTCGTGCATTACAACCATGCCTCCATGGTTGTAATATACCTCAAAATTCCTTCTAAGATACTTTAATCATCCGCTATTTTTATTCAGTGTCGTACATCAAACTTTTTAAGTCATTTCCAACCGCAATAATCCATCTCTCTAAGTGTCTTTCTTTCGTTTTTGCACCCACGAGCGCAGGTCAAAAGATACATACCACATTTGCCAAGATTGTGGGCTCGAAAAAATGTTACATATTGATCATGGGACCCATGGAATAATAGCGCCCTCTAAATGTATTCGATCGATAGCAAAGTAATATCACTTATTAACTATTATCCAATGGGATAATAGTTTCCTGGAAATGCTATGAATAAGTGGAGAAGGTGTGGGTATGTCTGTGTTTAGACAGTCCTAGGCAGTATATTACAGCATATTTTAATGTACTTTAATACATTCAAAAATCACAGAAATACAATTTTTGATTTTTGAACCCTTTTTCATGGTTCCAAAGATAATATTTGCTTCCACTTGTATAAAAGAAAAAATTGTACCATGTACTAAAATTTAAACTAGGTTTATTGTCAGCACAAGTACAGTTCAAATTAAAAGTATCGATTCTTTTAATAAAACAGTATTGATTCCATTAATTTTGTTAACAACCTGAAAGAAGTTTGCTTTTACCTACTCAACTAATTAAAATAAATGAAAGAAGTGACCTTTGTATTCTGTCTAAATATTATACATTATCTTTTTACATTTAATCTTTTTAAATATAGACTAAAGACCGGGTTTGTTGATTTATGCAGATCTGCTGAGATTAATTAAATAGTAAGTAAACACTAAGTGAAAACTTTATTTACTTAAGCAAATTGTGATTAACCAAGCTTTATAAAAATCTCAAAAACTAAAATAAATCTTCATAGACCACCCAATAACAATACTTTCTTAATTTCAATATTAAGATATTCAAACAAATAAAGAATATTAAATATTACTATATATGATTTAGGCAGGATGAAGTGAGCATATAAAATAAAGTGTTTAATTGCATTTAATTTAATGTCAGCACGATCCTTGTCACTGTCCTTTCTAAGTTGACATACTGCTTCACGTGGTCCCTGTTGGATAGCTATAATCATCCGTAAGAAGTGAACCCACCATCCAACATATAAAACATCATTTAAATGAAACCGAAGAAGCAGCCTCGGAAGCGTAGGCTATTGGAGGCGACCAAGGACATCTGTAATGGCCAACTAAATAAGTAAGACTATTATGTGATTTAATGACTAATATAGTATATAAGGGACTGCTTCAGAATATAAGAAGAATTTTGAATATATTGAAAAATTGTTGTGACTTCTCATAAAAACTATACAAATATTAAATTAAGAGATGGAAATAAGTGATTTTTTTTTTTAAATAATTAGTGATCATTCTATCATAGTATATGTTAACCCAGGAGTTGTGAAAAAATTACTCTACAAGTCAGGGGCACAATAGAAATTAAGTCCTGAAAGTGAAGACAGTAGCAATATAGCGACAATGGAATTCAAAGAAAATTTAGTGGTTAGTCGCTCTAGATAAGGCTTGTTGTAGAATATAAGAGACTGTGATAAAGATGTACTGTAAAAAAAATTTTCTTAAAGACAAAATTTGAAATTGCCTTCATTAAACAAACAGCAAAAACTGTCCTACTATGGAACATGGTTTAAACACTGGTTTAAATTATCATACTTTGATTAGAGTTTTTACTACTAGTATTCTTTATAGGTTCTGGTTATAAAATTTGGTTATGATCACTGAAGATGCTACTGGCTGTCATCTGAAACTCCGTTTGCAACTACTTTTGGACTTAAATCTCACATTATGATTTCCACCAATTGTAAAAAAAAAAGGAAAAAAATTCGGGTACTTCTCAATATTTAAATGCAACAGTAAGTATATAATTTAAAAAAGTGTTTCCTGTCCTTATTCTTATTAAACCACCACTGAGAACCTTTCTAGATTTGTAGCTACCCTAATGTCGAATTCATGAGTCGCACAGCAATGTCATGGCTTACTCACAACTAATTTCAGACTTAAAAAACTAATCTAGTCTAGTAAATATAATTTATATTAGTTAATATCTGTTTAATAGTTTTAATGAAAGTAAATATTATTGTTTTTTTTTTTATTTAAAAATTTACGTATAAATTTTATATTAGTTTTCAAAAATTCACGTTAAATGTGCCTTCTTTATACATCTCTAGGCTAGAAACAACTAGCCTGACCGAATTTTATTAAAAGTTTAATTTGGAATAACTTTTAAAATAACGTATGTGGACTTCTTTTTTGGAATATATATACTGGTTTGAACTATTGAATTTTGAAGGAAGTTTTTCTATACATAGTTTCTGAAAGTTTTTTTCTTTAAAATTAGTCTATGTTCACACTGATGAGGCTACTGGTTTCTGTCCTGTAGCCCTGAATGAGAAATTCAATGTTGCTTAACTGTAGGGTATTGTATTATATATATTGTTATTATATTTATTTGTTATTATATTTATTTGTAACAAACTAATCTCTCGAAGAGGCTACAGGTTCTTATCCTCTAACCCTGTATGAGAAAGTCATTGCTGCTTAACTGTAGGGTATTGCATTATATGTATTGTTATTATATTTATTTGTAATTATATTTATTTGAAACAAACTAATCTCTCGAAGAGGCTACAGGTTCTTATCCTCTAACCCTGTATGAGAAAGTCAGTGCTGCTTAACTGTAGGGTATTACATTATATATGATGTTATTATATTTATTTGCAACAAACTAATCTCAGCTTTATATAACATTGAATAAAACACAATATGTAAAAAATGTCGGTTTTTTACATATTAAATTAAACAAAACATTTAATAAATCATAACAAAAAATTACTTTTTTTTTAGAGAAAAAACTTTTAAATGGTTTTGCACAATGAATACAAATCAAAATTCCTCATTATCGCGAGAAATGTCAAAATATTTGCACTTCAAATCAAAACATTCATAAATTTGTACAATTTCCACTTTTGTTTTATGTTCAGCATTTTGTTATTTTGTTATTTTGTTATTTTGTTTTTGTGTTGTTCTATGCTCACTTCAGATAGTCAGTCAGTCACACTACAAAACGCTATAAAAGTGTTACTCTATGAAGTAAAGAGTTGGCTGAACTTACTCATACTCCATTAAACCATTAAACGCAAACAGTACGAAAGAACGAACTCCGCCTTATGCTTTAATAAAAAAGGAGAACTTCATTCACAAAAATCTGATAAGAAATATATGAAATGTGCTAGAGCAGTATAAACTGACACATGCGCACTGCATACTAACTGTGTTGCAAAGTAAAATTCAATAGGAATTGTTAAGTATGAGCACAGACACTGTTGTGTGAGCGGGTAAAATATATTATTAAGAAATGAATTTGTACTCACATCCAACACTCTGCAAAACTATATCCATTACTTTCATGCATACACTAATGCGAGATGTAGACAGAGATATTACTATAAGAATGAATTCCTTTACTATTGGAAACAGGTTCTTGTTAGCCACATCGCCTATCGCATTCATGTAAGTTGCATCGGCAATAGGCTTATACGCTTCAACGCGACAGCTACAAGCGACAAATTTTGTTTAGTTGCTACAATTGTTGTTGTCGTTGTACCACTACCATTGCATGTAGAGCATGTGCTGTCTTTGGTTTGGTTCGCTAGCAGCAGCAAATGATCACACTAGTCGTATACGCACTTTGTTCGTGGTTGGTCGCGCAGACGTTGTTTGCCGTTTGCCGTTTGCCGTTTGTCGTTTGTATGACGAGTTTTGCGGTATTTTGTGTTGTACTTTTTTAAAATTATTGTTATTAAATGACTGAACGTACGCTTTGACGTGAGCGCTTTTTTTAAAAAATTCAAAAAATAGAAAAAGTGGACCGCATTTATTTTGATTGAAATGTTAAACTTGTTACAGTGGCTGCAGTTGTTTTTTAACACTTTTGGATTTAAAATATGAAAAATCAAATTTAATCAGCCGAAGCGTGTTTAAAGCATAATTTGACCATAAGAACGTCGCGCAAGAATTATAATTATATCCAACGTCTCCGCACTGAAGACAAATTGATTAACGAAAATTACACAAAATTAAATAACAATTTATAAATAATAAGATATGAGGCTAATCTTCAAGTACTTGTAATTGTGGTTAAACATAAACGGTATTTAGTGAAAATTACTGGCCACTTACTGGGCCAAGTATAAATTAATTAAATCAATTTCTGGAGTAACAAAAAAAAAAAAAATAAAATAAAATAAGTGTGAATTTCAATTACAATTATTACTGAATTTGTTTTTATTTTTTTAACAAAAAGAAAAATGAAAAACTGCTAAAAAATTAAAAAAAAAATTTCAATATTAAAATTCCAGTTAAAAACAGTAAAAAAAACTACTAAATAAATTTAAAAAAAATTTTTTTAAATCAATATAAATATTAAAATTTCATTATTGAAAACAATAACTGTTCGTAAAGTTGTTAACAAGCCACAATAAAAATTAATTTAACAGTCCCCAACAAATTAATAAATAATTTTATTTTGCACGAGCTCATCAATTGGATTTTTTTAAAAACAATAAAAATATATTCAATCTCTGAAAGTTACTGCACAATTTTTATTAAAAAAAAACACATCACCCATTTATGATCTATTCGAGTCTCTAAAAAAAATGCATTAATAAAAAGTTGAAATAAAAATTTTTTTAATAAAATTTTAAATAAATAAATAAATTTTAATATATATAATTATTAAACTAAAGTTACATAGTTGACATATAAGTCTTAATATAAAATTTTGATTTCTATAGTTAACAACATTTTTAAACATATTATTAATTAATTTATATTGAAGTGTTAAGTTCTATTATTTTTATTGCACATTCAATTTGTTATATTGACTAGTTCTACGTTTTATGTTAAAGACCCACATTTTAATCCATTAGCCATTGGAGAAAAAAATATTTCCTTTATATAACGCGTTAAAAAGAAACCGCCAAAATTTTAGAAAAAGTGGCCTCAATAGGCGCCAACACGCTTAATTTTACTGATATAGGGAGCCCCTACGAGGGGCCTCCCAGTACCCCACAATCCGGTATGGATGCACCAGATGCGCCGCATACACCAAAATATATGGATGGCGGTACAACGACAACAGTACCCGGTAATATGCCTGGTAAATCAGCATTTGTGGAATTACAACAACATGCCGCCGCTGGGTAAGCATTTTATATATATTCATTTATGTTATATATTTCTTCTCCTTCTCCTGAAAATTATGGCTTATAATTCTTTTAAATTAGTTTTATTATAAAAATTCTAGAATTATATTTAAAGACTGTGAATTGCAATATAAAAAGTAATAAATATATTACGTTTTCAAATCGACTCACTGCTTTCGTTGTTAAGTTCCTTCTATGGGACGGTTTTGCTAATCCATTCCGAGGGCTGTCTTTTACTTTGTCTAAGTAGTAGATATGTTAAGTCATTAAGAAGACTGCCGTTAACTTTGTATGAATGGTGAATTTTTTAAGACACTATCAAAATTTTCATTATATTCACTTCAAGTTAAAATGTTAGACTAGACTATTAACTCTATTAACTAGAGCTCGTCTCATGGAAGACGTGATTTTTAGGCCCTAAAAAATAAATTTATTATGATAAACTTAAACTGATTTAAAGCACTTTATGTCAAGATATCCATTACTTGTACAATCTATTGTATTGTTCAAAAAAATCATACCGCGATAATATTGAGCAGATGTTTTAAGAAGTAAGCTTCAATATAAGTTTAAATCATATAATAGCAGTATGACTGCTGGAATAAGATCAAGTATAAACCAAATAGATTTCTACCGATTAGAGACCTAAAAAATAATTATTAGTATATCATCAGTAAAAATGTGCAATTTTAGAATATTATTAGTGAGTCTTGAAAGGTAGTTTAACATTGTATCAGAGGCAATTTTAAGTCCTTAAAACTAGTTGCTCCAAGGAATACCAGATAAAAAGAAAGAAAAGGAGATGCTTTTCTTTAATATTTCTGCATTATATAAATTCTATATTTTTGAATGGACAATTGGTCAATGCTAAAGAATACATTACTTTTTAAATAAGTTTTAAAAAAATATATTTTATTTGCACCAATATTTCGATTAGTCTTCAGGGTACTTAAAAACTTCAATAATAAAAATTTCTAAAATCTATGTATAATGTTTTACTTTAATTTTTATAATTAATTTATTATAATTTATTGCCAAATGTCATTGTAATTCATTAAATAATGTTAAAATATATATGTTAACATATTTGATTTTCAGTTTGATTTGTGTAGGGTCCAAGCTTATAATCTATAAAGATGCCATGAGTCTTCCATGTAAAAATTTTTTGAAACTTTAAGTGAACCTTCAGAAAGGTGTTAGAAAAAAATTACCGAAGTAAGTTTTCATATTTTTGAATTCTGTTGGATACAAGTCATATTACTCTTAATAATGTCCAATGATAAGTTCCAGTGGGAATATGTCGAAATATTTATTCTTTCCTATCAATAATATCTAAGCTAATGGGTTTTGATATTATTCTATGATGTTTCGATACCGATATATCTTCCAACATTGTCAGGGTTTCAATATTGTGAATCATCTACCGGTCTTTATAGGTCTTAATAAATGTCCTTATTTTTGATTACCTGTAGGTTTTGATAAGTTTTTTAGCATTTTGCTTTAGAATATTTAAATATCATTGATTATAATTTATAGGTCTTTATGAATATCCTTATTTCTGATGTACGATACGGCTTTGACGAATCTTTTTAGCGTTTCTGATTATCATTAATTGTAGATTTAGTCACAAAACGAAAGAGATGGTTTTATGATTTGTTTGTAGATGAGTATTATCTTTTTTATACTAAGCATTTCTGTATTTAAGCATAATATATTTATGTATTTATATAGTGTTAGACTCAAATATTTCAGTTTGTTGGCATATTATGCATTGATAGTATTGGCTTTTAGTTTGATTGTCTTTAGTCAACATTTTTGAGATATTATTTCCGATGATAATCGTTTTTATTTCTTATTGATTGCATCCATACATCCTATCCATATTCTAATATGTACCATCAGATTTAGTTATAAATAGAGCCTTCACAGCCTTAAGTTATCTAGCTTAGCGTGGCAAGCTTACCCCAGCGATACGGTATAGATTTTGCTATAGCCTCTTTTCTAATAATAACAATATAAAAATAAATACATTAGTTATATTTTTGTTCTTTTAAGACTCTATCTATTTATATAATCTTAAAAAAATATTTTTTAGCGGCAAAGCCAAAAAGCTCTTTTTCTAAAACGAAACATCGAATATTTCTGAATCGTGACTTGAGAAGTTGACCACAAAAGTAAACTCTCTTCTCGTAAATGTTAAAATTTTCTTAATTAAAAAATATTTGAGACAGTTTTGTGGATATCTCCTTCTCCTTCGACTTCTCTTTATCTTTAATATCAAATTTATCATGAGACAAGACAGATTTATTATTTTTATATTGTAGATTTTAATTCTAGTTTTTAATGATTAATAATAATCAATATTTGTTTTGAATATTTTAAGTATTTATTTTGTTAATTTTTTTATTTATTATATTTATGTTTTTTTAAACTGAATAACTTAAAGAATTACCAAATATTAGATAGGTAGCTGAGTACTCGGGTTAGTTCATTTCTAAGACAGAGATGTACAAGTCAAAAGTTAGTTGTAATATTAATAATATTAAATTGAAAAATTATATATCAACAATTAATGCATTATTATTTACAGCACAGATACTTTATAATTTTTTTATAATTGAAATGTATATGAGATAGAAGAGATATAATAAATTAATAAGAAATGTAATAGATATATATATAATTAATGTGTTTTACCGCAAAAAGTCAAGTAGATATTATATAGCTTTATAGTTAGTTGCAAAGTGTGCTACAGATGCTCTACATTGGATAATAAATATTCAATAAGTTTTATGAATAATGTGATAATAAGTAATTTGAATAAAAATTTATTCCATTGTTTAATATATAATAACACCGATGTGCTTCATTTAAATTAAAACTTTCTCATTATTTGCTGATTTTAAACTACTTCCCTAGCATTTAAATTAAATCTTTTAGTATATATACTTAAAAGTAATTTTTATTCTCAGTGAAGTTTCAGTATGATAATTTAACCCACTAAAACTATTACTAGAAGTGAACTGTGAAAAGATTTTGCTCATCGGATCATAAAAGGCCAATGACTGAAATCACATTCCAGTAACCAAAAAATAAAAGCTAAGAAATTTAACTAATGGTATTTTATTTTTATCTATGGAAGGAATGAGAATAAAATAGGTTGATTCTAGAAATATACATATATAATATTTCTTATGATATAAGAAACTCAAGATATATATATATATTTTTTTTTTTAAATCGTTTAAAATGTATTCGCAAGACTCAAATCTTAGAATTTTAGACTTAGGGTAAGTTTTGCGATTTTTTTCGTTTTAGTAACTAAATTTTGTTAAGAGTATACGAACTTTACGACAATTATAATGGAGGGAATATGATCTATTTTAATAAAATAAAGAGTCAAACATTAAAAACGGTTTATGTGAAAAGGATCAGATAGGCTCATTGTAGAAGTAGTTAAAAATGGTGACATTAAGCACTGTCATTGGTACCATTTTATTGCTGAAAAAGCGACGGTCGCAATTACAGACAATAAATACGAACTATATAAGGATTCAACGTTTCAAAATTATATAGGAAGTTCGATGAATTTTTAATATTATTTGTTTCATTTTATATGTTTTATTCCTCAGGTTCTAATATAATGCTCCTTTAAATTATATCAAAAACTTATCGATATTAATCAGTATTTATAAACAATATTAAGTAGAAGAAATTAGTCAATCAAAAATTGATGTGAAGAAGATTTAATAACTTCGTTGTAGTTCATTTATAAAAAATATTTATTTATTATTTTTTATGAATAATATATAGGATTAAAATATACATTTTTATTGTTTCAAATTATTTATTTAATAAATATTGGATTTTTTTTAATAATATAGTTTATGACCCGTACGTTGTATTTTTCTTACCCGAAGAGGTGTATATTGCATAATGAAAATAATATCTGAGGCCTTCTTGTGTTTCTAACTTATTAAATTTTTATTATTAAATTATTATAACAATTAAATGGAATAAATTATATAGCCAAAAAAGTTTGTATCGAATAAAGAGAATATTATCTGCAAGATAATTTCTTATTTCATAGATTTTTATTTTTCTATTGTAAGCCTTATAGAGCAATGAATAATAGAGAAAGACTCTAACTACAAGGACACTCAGGAACTTTATGAGTAAATATATTATATACATAAATTTCTAACAAAATATTTATTTAAGATATGTATAGTATATAGAATTGAAACATTTAATGTAGAATTTTCATTAAGAATCGTATTTTTCTGTAAAACTCAGTTGCCGTCTTTACGGTAGTATTTAGTTCATCTACATAAAAATTTCTTGCTGAAGTAATTTATTTAGTTCAAATAATTAATAAATAAATAATTAAGTAAAGAAATACATTTTATAAACATATTATTAAAATATTTTTATGTTTTTGAAGGATAAACCAGTTGACTACTTTAACGATTTGAAATTAAATCGGAGAACATTTCCATTGTTATTACTATATTTCATTAAAAATATTATAAAATTATTGAAAGACTTGTGTTATAGGTGTCGTTTTAATGATCTTGTAATAAATATTTTATTTAAATATTAATAATTAAAGCAATTTAAGCCTTAAAGTTAGTCTTAGTGCTCTAAAGTTTTCATGTTTGCAATCAAAATATCTTAGATTAGCATAGAAAATACAAAACATAGCAAATATTCATGAGATGTTAAATTTACAATGTTTTTAGTAATAAAATCAACAAATTAACAGCTTCTAATGGAGAGCAATTAAACTCAATTTTCAAACATAATTGATAATATCAAATAGACACTTTAAAATGTAATTAATAAATTTAATTGCACTATAAGTGATAAAAAAATGCGAGTTAATAATTTTTGCCATATAATTTAAATATCATTACTTTCTATATTAATTCACATTTCTAATGTTAGATATTTTCTCCATATTTTTTATTTTCAATTAAAATTACTTTGAGTGTTTG